TGTTATATGCTTCCCCCAACTTGCTATACGTATTTTTGTATGTCGCCTTAGAGTTTTGCCTTTGAAACTATAAACAAGCCTAATATCCCTTCCCTTTAGGATTAGTAGTCCAAAATGCCTCCGGGACTGATAGGATTGGGGCGGGTAATAGCATGCAATAAGTAAACGAGACCATTCCTTCCGCGCTTTAATACCCTAACGGGGTGGGAAAGGATAGATATGGATATGATGACCATGCGATAACATCACGTGTAGCCCCTCACTGAGGAGTGATTACCGGATGTTATGTGGGGTGATCCATATTATTTATAAACCTAGGACTCCCCTCCCTTTGTTTCTTTGCTTCTTCTCCAATTTCAAACTATTTCTTTAAGAAAAATCAGCTTTCTTTTGGTTCTTTCTAACTTTGTTTATTTGTAACCATTATGTGAAAATTCCCTCTTACTTGAAGTCTTTATTTGCCTATGTGTTATTTGCGCTTAAGTTCACAACAATAGTTCGGCCGGGAACCACACTAGTGGATCCTGAGGGGTGCCTAACACCTTCCCCTTGTGATAATTTCAAACCCTTACCCAATCTCTGGTTATTCAAATCAAACCCTTCTTAGTGTCCTAATGCACTTTAATCATTAGGTGGCGACTCTTCAAATCAAACCCAATTCCCCAAAAGGGAACGAGTTGTCCTCCCAAATGTCATAAACTCGATTTCGCGAGAAAAAGGGAGCGCGACACCCTCTACTACCACTGCCCCAGATATCCCCTCATCTTCAGCCTATCCACTGACTGCCCACCGTTTGAGCCAGACCCTTGCCAGTATCAACAACTGGATGCAGGCAGCTACTTCTAAGCTGTTTGTGCTTTCTACCTCGCTGGCATCCTAGTATGTACCCCCTCAGCCACAGGTCCCACAGTCAGTGGAGGACACTATCAAGGAGCTTCTGGACAACCAGAAGCTCCTGGAGAACCAGCAGTTAATATTGGATGTTGTAGGTACTCATGGGAAAGCACTGAAAGATCAAAGATTAGATTTCACTGATTTTAACTCATTTTCAAGCCTAAGGGGTGCCTCACTTGCAACTTCCTTTCCTTTTTGAGTGTTCCCAGGCTTACTTTTCCTTTTTAGTTCCTAAATTGTTTCTTTAGGTCTACAAGCACTACTAATAGGTAATCTCTCTCATGCTCAATGTTAGCAATTTTTTCAGTTAAGGCATCTTTTTCCTTCTTTAAACTCTCAATGGTTTCTTTTAAATCTACCACAACAACTACTAGGTCATCTCTCTCATGTTCTACTTCTCCTAGTTCCACATTTAATGCATCTTTATTATTTATAAGACTATGATAAGCATCAATTAAAACATTTGTCAAAGACATAAGTTTTTTCGGAGAATAAGACTTTAGATTTCTTTAAACATCTAGAAAGTTTACCTCATCATCATCGTCGTCATCTTCATCATTGTCAGATTTTTCCATCAGGGCAAAGATTGAGTCATACACAGCTGCTTCACTTTCCACCGCCATCATGGAGCTATCACCTTGATCATCATCTTCTTCAGATTCGCTGGAAGAGTCTCCCCATGCATCAAGATCTTGTTTCACAACATTGTCAACGGCATCTTTTCTCTTGAATCGTTTGTTACGAATCGGGTTCCTCTTAGCTGTTTTGTCAGTATTGTGTTTGTACTGATCTTTCTTGAGGAGAGGGCAATTCTTGACAAAGTGTCTTGGATTACCGCACTTATGACATAGGTCAAAACCTTTTGGCTTGCTGGAGCTACCCCTTTTTGGAATACCTCCATTTCTGCGAACTATTTTCTGAAACCTTTTTGTCAGGTAGGCCATATCAGCATCCTCACCACCTGAGTCATTGTTGTCCGTCTTGAGGACTAGGTTCTTCTCCCTTTTGGGCTCTCTTCTCTCATTAACCTTCTTCTTTTTTATTTCATAAGTCTTCAGATTGCCAACAAGTTCATCAATGGTCAGCTTCTGCAGATCCTTTGCCTCTGTGATAGCATTTACTTTGCTTTCCCAGGAACAAGGTAATACACTAAGTATATTCCTGACGAGTTTCTTCTTGGGGATGATCTCTCCCAGAGAGTGAAGCTCATTGATGATAGATGTGAAGCGAGTGTGTATATCTTGAATAGACTCATCGTCCTTCATCGTGAAAAGCTCATACTCTATGGTTAGCATGTCAATCTTGGACTGCATTACTTGTGTTGTCCCTTCATGAGCTGTTTGGAGAGCTTCCCAGATCTCCTTAGCAGATTTACATGCTGAAATCATGTTGTACTCATCTGGTCCAATACCACAAACGAGGATTTTCTTTGCTCGAAAGTTCTTTTCTATAGCCTTGCGATCAGCACCGTTGTATTCCTTTCTTGTTTTAGGAATTGTCACTGCGGGGTCTCCAATGGTCTTCGTAGGAACTTAGGGTCCATCGCAGATGATATCCCAAAGCTCTGAGTCTTCAGCCATGATAAAGTCGTGCATCCTTGTCTTCCACCACCCATAGTATTAGTCGTTGATTCTTGGTGGTTTGTAGGTAGATTGACCTTCTTCGAAGTTTGGCGGAGCAGCCATGAGGATCCTTTCTAGGTGTTAGCCTGATAGAAAGAACCTGCTCTTATACCAATCGATAGAAACTAAAGGTCCACAAACTATATAGAGAACCAGGTTCTCTATTAGTTCCCACAGAATACAGATGCACTGTAGTAAGTAAATGACAATGGAATTTTACGTGAAAAACTCCCAAATCACGGGATTAATAACCACGACCTACCCTTGTAGGATTTCAACTTTACTACTGAGAAAACTTCGGATCACAACCTATTGTAACCTAAGAATTAACCTCTTAATCCCTCACTAGCTTGTAATAACTCTATTACAAGCAACTTTGTAATAACTCTATTACAAAGGTTTACAACTCGACTAACTCTAGCCAAGACACAAACACAAATGTTTATGATTTACAAAGGTTTCCTACACAATGCTTCTAACTAAGCTAAGTAGGAATTACAAGTAGAGTACTTTAACAAAGGTGCAACATAATTAAGGACATGTAATAACTCGATACAGGAGTTGGTCCGTTGTTATGTTGTTCTTTGTTCTTGATGCCCTTGAGAGTCACTTGCCAGATTGATTGAGCACTTGAGAGAATGATGATGATTCTTGAATATGCAAGTGTTTTGTTTTACCTTTGCTTGATGTTCATAATTCATTTGTGACATCATTTGAATGATGCAAGCAAGTTAGGTAAAGGGCATTTCCCATAAAGTTGACTACTGCACTATTTTTGCACTGTTGCGTATGCAGGCAGCAACTTTACAGCTTGAGGGGGTTGACTTGTACAGTCACCACGGGAACTGGTAGCTATCTGTTCCCTCTGTTGTTCCTTTGACTCTGAAGAGTTGAACCGTGTCCCCGACTAAAGACTTATTGATCTTAAGTACTTGAGGATGTGTAACATATTCCTTAGCTGATTCTAAACACTAAGTTTGTTAGATCATCAAACATAATAGAGATACACATATAACCTATCAATTCCATGTTCTTTTTTCTCCCCTCAACATTTAAGTGTAAGTGCATCAATGTGGTCGCCTCATGTCTCTTTTGGTGGAAACCAGGTATTGCAGTCTTTTCAGCACTGAGATCTTGGTTATTAAGATAATAACAAGTTAAGAAACTATCATCATAGTAAATATCAGAATCTTAATTTATTTGGATTCTGAATCTCGATGAGAAGAAACATAGTGCCATTTTCTCAACTTGGTTGATCATGAAATTGCTGTTACTTCGGTTGATCAGAAATATCAAGAATGGTGTAATGGCCAAGCTTTTTTTTGTCAAAAAGTAATTTTTGAAAAATTTAAGGTGTTTGGCCAAAACAAAAAAAGTATAGGCCAAATTAAAGAAGTACTTTTGAGCAGCAGCATAAGCAGTTTTTCTGCTTTTGGGGAGAAACTACAAATTCTAGCTTATTCCAAGAAGCAGAAGCAGAAAATTAATTTGTTTAAGACAAAAATCACCTTACAATAAATTTATATTTTTCGAATTATCTCTTATAATGTAACATTTTTCTTTTCTTTTTCCTTTTTCCTTTTTCTTTTTATTTCTACTATATATTTCTTTCTTTTTTTTTATTTCAATCATATTTTTGTTCTCTTTCCTATATTCCTAAGATTATATTTTAAATTTATATTGAAAAATGTATTTTGATATATTTAAATTATTACGTAAACAATAAGTAATACCAAACACTCAATGTTATTACTTTGAAATAACTATATTTTATATTTATTGAAAATTTTAATTTATATTTTACTTGACGTTTTATATTTTAATTTAATTCTTTTATAATAAAAGTTTAAATTTATTTTTTTTTTCTAAATAATACTAATCGCAAATTGAGTCTTTACTGTACTTTTTCGTAATTTGATACTTAAAAGTGCTTTTTTAAAATATTGGCCAAACATAGTGAACTTGCAAAAAGCACAACTCAAACAAATTGGCCACACAAACTGCTATTTTGCAAAAACGCTTTTTCAAAAAGTATTTTCAAACAAAAGCACTTTTCAGAATAAACAGTTTTTGACAGCTTGTCCAAACGGGCTACGAGACAAGTAATCCCAACACAGGGCAACAAATCGTAGAAGCCAGAGCTTGAAGCTTTTGCATTCACACATACTTAATCTGTTTAAGTAGTGCCGTATATATTTTTTACACCACTATAACATGTAATTCTTCATAATAAAGCTGATATAGTAACTTGAACGAAAATAAAAAATTAAACCTATAACAATATGCAACTGCTCTTCATGTCAAGTCTAATATATACTTGAAAAAAACACTAACATGCAATTCTTCGTAACAAGCTTGAGACAATAACTTCAAAAAAAAAAAAAAAAAACTATAATAACCATACTGCAATTGAATTAATAGCGTAAAAAATGTTACTTACTTGATATAAATAGGAGAGAGTAAATTTTACTTATTCTGCTGCTATTAAAAAAATTCTCCTCATGGGAGTTGGTCAAATTTCATAGAATGACCTTAAAAGAATGTTAGTAAGCTAATTTTAGCATATGACCTAGTAAGAAGTAGCTTCGACATATCGTAACAGAACACACCTAAAGTTTCAGTTTATGTCAAAAGTGAAAACTTTTGGGGGTACAATTTAACAAACTTTTCACCAGATATAGTTCCATTAGAACTTATCGTCATATTACTAATATATGCTACATAATTTATCTCTCGTAGCTTCGTCCTCCTTTTGAATATCTTAAACTTAACTTTTGTTTCCAAACGAACTACGAAATCTATACTTCCATTTCCAATTCCTCGCCAAAATAGCTCATCAACATTATACATTTGCACTTCCTTTCTTGTAATGTTTTTGTGGCCTTGGTAAATCCCTTGTGTAGAACTTCTGCCTACAACCAAACCATTGTAATTCAAAGTGAAGTTGATATCATTATAGTAAATGCTCATACCTTTGTTGGGATTGAAAATTTCAAGGTTTAAAATTACAGAATTGTTGTCGCCATGGAGAGAAGAATTCTTAACGTTCAAATCAAGAAAGGAGAAATCAACAAGAGTGAAAATTGGATTTCTTGGAATCAAACAAAGCCACATGACTAATGAGATCAAACTTAAGACAGCTGCAACTTGGAAGAACCAACAGTAGAGATCAATATTATAACGTTTGGATTTCTTTCGATTATTCATTTTTGGTCGAATATTTGGGATTCATTAACGTGGAGAGATTACAAGTTTAGTAAATAGAACAAGTTCAGGAAAATGAAGAAGCAAAAGGTCTATCTTTTATATTGATCCAAACTTTGTAGAAACGATAGCCAAAAGAAAAGTTTGCCTTTAGTTGAACTTTAGTAGTGTTAGCTTGGTTGTGATCTACTCAGCTTTTCATAGGAACTTTTTTAAAGAAGCACATTAATTGGATGGATATTCATATCCTACACCAAAATGACGCTGGAAAGTAAATGTACGTAGGAACAGAATCTGGAAAATTAGAAGACACCGTCTAATTTGAAGTCTATCATCTGTTGAAACTTAAAGAAGAAGAAAAATAAGTTAAATGTTAAATCATTTACGAATTAGTTCATGTAAATGACTAGAGAAAGTGCTGGTAACCTTCTTTTGCTATTTCAATTTTCTATTTTCTTCTCATAAAAAATATGCCTTTTGATTTCTATATTTCAATTATCTTTTCCCCCATTTAAAGCTAAAAATGTTCATTAGCCTATCTCATATTTCCATGATTTTTCAGTATGTTTGTAATGATATCATATTATTATTACCACAAAAAAATGATATCATATTATCTTTGTTATTCATCAGGATCCTGTCCAACTTTTGTATTAGGTGATGCAATATACACAGTGGAAAATGTTACACAATCTAATTAAGGTCCTCTGTTAAGTGATTACATAAAATCTACGTAAAATTATCAGACCCCTCGTCCTTACAGTAATTGTAATGTACTCTTTTTACAATCAAATACAAACCAAAAATGAAAATTCAATGAGGAAACCATGAACAGCCTAGCTGAAATATTCTGGACATCTCTTATCAATGTAACCAGCCAAGACCATACCATCCTGGCCTACTCCCACAGGACAATTAGCATGCATCCTATGGTGTTTACTATTCCACGACCATATCCTAAATCGAATTTTCGCCGTTAATTCTAGCCGGAAAACCACCGTTCCACGAGACCGGTCGTCGAGCATTTGCTGCCACTGTGTTCCGGTCACCGTAATCATGGGGCCAGAAAATGTACCAGCAAGAACAGTAGTGTTTTTGGGCAGTTGATAAAATGGAGTCAATAATTGGGAATTCCCAATACTCTGTTCTTGATAAGTAGCTGTCACCTGCATTGCATCATAAAAAATACCAATAGCTTGATTTGAATTTCTTGCTGTTACATTGAAGTTTATTTGTGCACTTTCAGGTCCAATTCCCTGACTTATAGCTGGAATTGAGAAATCATGGAGGAAAATTCTTGGGCGATGAGGGCGCAAACCTAGCCATAAAATGAATCCAATGATACCAACAATAGCAAGAAGAGTCAAGAAAATTGTACAAACTAGTTTGGAGAGTCTAGTAGTTAGACTTTCTTTAATATGGTGAGCATAATATCGAGCCGAGTGGTGCCTCCGTACAGGGCGGTCTTGATCTGCATAAACAGGTAACTCGTGCGTGTTATCCATTTGAAATTAATGTTGTTCTTGAGGTTGAAGAACAAGACCAACTTTAAGGTACATGATTATATATGTTAAGGTTGGTTAGCTGGAGGACAAAGTAATGTCAAAGAATGTTTAAGTCTTTCAAGAAAGGAAAGAATAAGATGATCTAACTGGTTACATTCTCAATAGACAAATATTTGTTGTATAATGCCATGCAATTCTTGAAGTCATGTGAAAGTATACTTTGTTCAATAGTAGTCGCAAAAATTTGTTCTTTCTCGCTAAGTATACTCGTGGAATATACAATGGTATTTCTTTCTGATCTTTTTATTGCTTTTGAAGGTTTCATACCAAAAAGATGAGTTTCTATTTGTTTGTATCTTGGTTTTTTAAGACATTGAAGAAAGCTAAGTTTTAGACTGTGGCCTTCAAGCAACTGATATGCTTGTTCGAGGATATTGAACTTTTTTGTCATTCTTAGAATCACCGTATTAGAGTTATTGAGAACGGTTACATGTTGTTGTATGTCACCTACATTATAACTACAAACTATTTTCCAATGGATTGCCTGTTACAATTAGTAAAATACATCGATAGTGTAGAAATTCTTTATCCGTTTATATAAGTTAAATCTGTGAATGTTAGCATAGAAGGAATTTGCAAATAATGTTCACTAGGATCTTCTGAAGAGAAAACAATTTGAAAGAGAGAAACAATTTTTCTATTTTTCTCTTTTTTCTTTCTTGTTTGGAGGGTTATGTTACATCTCTGATTGACCCAAATTTTGGCCCATAGCCATAACTTTTTGGTAGAAAAGAGAAAAATTCTATGTGGGCCTGAGAAAAGAAAATGATGATAGATAATGGTTTTTGGGCAACTTCAAAATTTTCGTAAAAATTGCATGGGGTAGGGCGCCCCTTTTTAACCTGTAGCCGCTTTGTTTTTCTGTTTGCACTTGTACCCGTTTTTTTGTTAAAAACCTTTTAAAAAGACTATTTTGCCCTTATTTATTAAAGACTACTTTCTCTCCAAGTATACGCTAGTCCTCTATGTTAAAACTGGAATTTTCTCAAAGGAAGCTAACAGTACACCTATGTTATTTCAAGGAACAATGCAAAGTCGTTAAGCACGTTTTAGGACTTTTCAGAACCAAAAATGGGAGGAAAAGTTGATTTCATCACCAATAAATTCACTTTCAAAATTTTCTTTTCTTCTGGCACTACAGAAGGATGATCTTAAAAAGCCTTTGCCACTACCTCTTTATAGTGAACATGCATGGAAGAATTCACTGGAAAGAGAATCTTCATCTTTTTCATGATTGATTATACCTGTGATTGCACGTTCCCACGGTGTCGAAATATACTGCGAGCCGTTTTGTGACTGGTGAACTTCAGCTTTAGGAGCTGAAGTTTTTGTTTTTGTAACTGGTGAACTTCGGGTAGAGCTGAAGTTTTTATTTTATAACTGGCGAACTTCAGCTCTAGAGCTGAAGTTTTTGTTTGTAGCTGGCGAACTTCAGCTCTAGAGCAGAAGTTTTTGTTTGTAACTGGTGAACTTCAGCTCTAGAACTGAAGTTTTTATTTTGTAACTGGCGAACTTCAGCTCTAGAACTGAAGTTTTTGTTTTGTAACTAGCGAACTTTAGCTCTAGAGCTAAAGTTTTTGTTTTGTAACTGGTGAACTTCAGCTTTAGGAGCTGAAGTTTTTGTTTTTGTAACTGGTGAACTTCAGCTCTAGAGCTGACGTTTTTGTTTTGTAACTAGCGAACTTTAGCTCTAGAGCTGAATTTTTTGTTTTTGTAACTAGTGAACTTCAGCTCTAGAGCTGAAGTTTTTATTTTGTAACTGGCGAACTTCAGCTCTAGAGCTGAAGTTTTTGTTTGTAACTGGCGAACTTCAGCCTTCTTAGAGTTGAAGTTTTAACTGACTTTCCATATGATTCAAACGTTGAAAGTATTAGATGGAAATACAGGTGCTCACTAACTTATGTAATCCTCTTGGTCAGATTCCTCCAATTTGGTATACTTCTTAAATACCAAATTGATGAATTAAAAGGTTTCTATCTCCACAGCCCATGTCAATTACTGGAACATTTTCACAATCAGTGAATTCAGAAAGGAGTGGCCTATCCGATTGAGGGCGGATATAACTTTGAGGGATAGTAGAGTGGCGGATTCCGCTGGACAGAACTCAGCATATGAAAAAAGGGATTTTTTGTTTTGGAAGGGGTATAATGGTCATATTATTACGGATTTTTTGTTAGTTGGCTACGAAATCAATAGTTTTTAAAAATAGGATACAGGTTAAAAGATGGCATAAATATAGGGTATGACCGCAAATCCCCAAAATTTTCTGGAACAAACACTACTAACAGTCATAGAAGTCATCTGTATTAGTCTAGGACTTGAGGGATTTAAAATATTATTTAAGATATATTCTTGAGTGACAATGTAAATAAAATTTACACTATCATTAAAATTTAACTAACTATGGCATTATTTTCTCGATTATCTTATTGGACTTATTATAAAGAGCTAGGCCTACATATTATTGTAAGTCAATAATATATTGTGTTAGCAGATTCAAAGAAGTTTCTCTTTCGCTTTCAGCTTAACCCCTTCTAGTTGTGGCCCATAACTTTTGGTATAAAAGAAAATCTAAAATGATAAATTTGGCTCTTGTCGCACTTCAAACTTAGGGCGGGCAACCTACGAATACGTAGCATTTTGTTTTTTTGGGGACAATTGGCGAGAAGATGCTTTGGACATTTTGGCATTTTGATAGACGCGGAGAGAGTGGAAATGTCAGAATTCGTTTAGTCTAAGGGATAATTTTTCCAGTGAACTCGGCAGAGGTGTGTCTACCATTCGAACATCCATAACTTAAAAAAGTAGTACTTGGCCTTGCAATAATTGTTTGATTCACTATTTTCCTTTAAAACTTGGAGTAAAATTCGGTAAAAGAAAAGGATGGGAAATTCATTATAACCCATGTTCCCCATATATTCCCAGGGGTCTCAAATGGGCGGGTTGGGTCAATTTTGGGTGGGTCAAAATGGGTTGAGTCAATAATTAGGCAGGTCATTTAACCCGCTCAAAAGTTACTTGGACTAAGATAGGTTGGGTCAGGATGAACTAAAATTCGGTTCATAACCCAACCCGTCCAACCCTTATTAAGATTTAATTAATATGTGTTATTTTCTTATAATTGTGTAGTTACTAAATAAAAGACTTTTTTATTTTATTATGGTCATATATAACATATTACACAAAAAATAAAATTATTTCTAAGATATTTTGACAAAGTTACTCATAGATCAAGGGGCTAAAAATTAGCCAGTTTTAAATGAGTTGAGATGAGTTGGGTCAAGATAGGCTAAGTTCAATAAATATTCGGGTCAATAACTAACCCAACCTTGGACGGTTTGGGCGGGTCATTTGGACGTGAGCCGAATTTGACAGCTGCTATATATTCCTATTTCTTCTTGATGTTAGTGTCCCCCTTTTTGGTCGGAGAAGTGATGATGGCTAAGGTATAATTGCTCCAAGATTTATCCAAGTAATTATATGAAATAGTGCGGGGAAAATGTACAATATTTTATATCCACTATACGTGGAAAGGTGGCAGGAAATTAAATC